TCGGCTCCATGTAAACTAGGCGCGGTTTCCAGGGAGAGTTGTCATCACTGCATCACAGAGGGAAGGCAGTGATGGTGGGACCCACATGGATTGCCACCTCCTCCAAACCCAAGAGCTGTTTCTGTGTGATCACTTGTTGGCACTCCTGCAGTGTCTCAGGAACTCAGGACTTCTGAATGCCCACCTTTGTGGAAGGCAGGCAGGGCTCTGGCGGGTCCCGACTCCCGTCTGTCTCTGCCCCCTTTATGAGCAGGTCCAGCTCAGACAATGCCTCACCGTCCTGCACCGCAGCCCCAGGGCTCAAGACTGCCGCTGAAGGTCCTGTGACGTCCCATCTGTCCCTGGCTCTTGATCTCTGGTCTCTGCCTCTGAGAGCTTTGCCAGCTCCGTGCCAGGCGCCGCTGTGTTCTCCCGTGGAGGAGGCTGGCTGTGTCTTCGCAGGCCCTTTTCATCTCCTAGCCTCTGGGCCTCCCTCGCCACCCCCAGGACTAATTAAGGCATTTTCCTAAACAAGGCTGGCTGCATCTCAGAAAATGAGTTCTGAAGCCAGCTGGTGAAATGAATTCCCTCTCCTATCTTCTGTCGGAGTGGAATGAGTGACAGTCGGGCACCTGCAGCAGGCCAGTGGCCCGGGAAGCAGGGGACCTCAGACTGGTGATTACATGCCATGTAAGAAGTGGCCCATCTGTGTGGCTAGGCTGGCCAAGGCTGGTGACCAACACCCCCAGGCTCAGTGACCAAAGACAACTAAGGGTATGTTATTTTACTTTATTTTTTTTTTTTTAAGTTTTGTTTTGAGACAGGGTCTCAATTAGCCCAGGCTGGCCTCAAACTTAAGTAAGTAGCTAAGGATGACATTGAACTCAACTGGCACGCTAGGGGAGTGTTTTCCAGGCCTTCGTACTGTGTGAGTGGTCCTTGCCCACCCAGCTTCGGCCACTAATCATTCTGTCCTTAGGGCAAATCTTCAGGAATGAGAAATTCTGGCTTTGCTGGACTTGATTTGGTGAAGGCGTTTGTCAAACTAAAGGCAAGATGAAAGACAGGAGCCAATGTGGGCAGTGCCGCTGCGGTGTGCACTGTGGTGTGCTGTGCAGTGGTGTGCACTGTGCACTGCGGTGTGCACTGTGGTGTGCGGTGTGGTGTGCACTGTGGTGTGCACTGTGGTGTGCTGTGCACTGTGCGCTGTGCACTGTGGTGTGCACTGCGGTGTGCACTGTGGTGTGCTGTGCAGTGGTGTGCTATGCACTGTGCGCTGTGCACTGCGGTGTGCACTGTGGTGTGCTGTGCAGTGGTGTGCTGTGCACTGTGCGGTGTGCACTGTGGTGTGCACTGCGGTGTGCACTGTGGTGTGCTGTGCAGTGGTGTGCTATGCACTGTGCGCTGTGCACTGCGGTGTGCACTGTGGTGTGCTGTGCAGTGGTGTGCTGTGCACTGTGCGCTGTGCACTGCGGTGTGCACTGTGGTGTGCGGTGTGGTGTGCACTGTGGTGTGCACTGTGGTGTGCTGTGCCACTGCAGCCCCAGCATACTTACACCCCACAGGTGGCTAAGGGGATGCTTTCTCTTACCTTGGCTCTGTGTGTGCACGTGCACGCGAGTGTGTGAGTGTGTGTGTATGCATTGTGTGAATGTATGCATGCAAACCACGTGTCTGCAGCTGCCGTGGAGGTCAAAAGAGGAGAGAGGCATCATATCCCTGGAGTTAGAGTTACAGCAGCCGTTGGCTGCCGGATGTGAATGCTGGGAGCCAGACTCAGGTCTTCTGCAAGAGCTGCAAGAGCAGTATGCAATTAGCCAAGCGCTATCCCTCCACGTGCTCAGTGCGCTCTCTCTCTCTCTCTCTCTCTCTCTCTCTCTCTCTCTCTCTCTCTCTTTCTCTCTCGTGTATGCACGCGTGTGTGCGCGTGAGCCAACACCCATGCACAGAGGCCAGGAGATAATCTCCGTGTTGTCCACCTCATGTTTGGAGACGGGGTCTCCCACCAGGTGAGCCAGCTCCAGGCACTGCCCTTGGTCTCTGCGGAGCTGAAGCACACCTGGCTCTGCACGGGTGCAGGGATGAAACCCAGGTCCTTGTGTGCACAGCTAGCACCCCAGCTCCTGAGCTGTCACCCCAGCTCTTCCTTCTTGTTAACTGAACAGCCAGCCCACCCAGTGAGCACCCAAGGTGGCCTCAGTGCTTAGCACTGGATTGTACTCGGACCATGTTGATGGGGTTACAGTGCCCACCTGCTCTGCCCTGGGTCCCTTGCTCAAGTTTTACAGATGTCCAATCACAAATGTGTGCAAGGCACTAGTGCTGATGTAGGAGATTCAGTTCCCAAGGGGCTGGACAGTCACTCACTATCACAGAGTCTTCAGAGGACCCAACAGGAAACGATTAGCAATTGAGGTCAAGGTCTGGGTTACCCTGTGCTCAGCTCTGGCAGATCTGTTCACTGAAGCGAAAGAAAAGAGTAATGGGTAAATGGGTTAACTAGGGACCAAGTTTGGTTAGCAGGTGAATGGGTTAACTAGGGACCATGTTAACTTGTTAACAGGTGAATGGGTTAACTAGGGACCAAGCTAACTGGTTAACAGATAATAAGTGGATCAACCATGAACAGGTTACTAGGCTACTAGGTGGATGGGTTAGTAGTTGGTTAGCTAGTGACTGGGCTGGAGGGGACCGAGCCAGCTGGGAACTGGGCTAACCATGTCTTGTTCTCACTGCTTCTGCCTGGCTGGGGAGTGTGAACCCACAGAACCAGCCTTGTGAGAGACCTGCTCTGCCCACACCTCCACCGCTCAAACACACCCTCCACTCACACACATACCCTCCATCGCTCACACACACACCCTCCACCGCTCACACACACACACCCTCCACCGCTCACACACACCCCCTCCACCGCTCACACACACAACACACCCTCCACCGCTCACACACACACACAC